GGGAGGCGGTTCTGCAGCTCTCCCTGGTAGCAGCTGGTCCCTTGCTCTGAGACTCAGTGGAACACGAGGCGTTAGAGGAGGTTTCATCCAGAGACACTGGAAGAGACGGGCACTCGGTCAGACACAGAAGTAGATCCCGCGGTTTAAGATCACTGTCATTAGACACTCACCATCGTTATCACCACTCACAGTGCTTGCTTCATTGGACTCACAACTTTCTGCGTCTGCTGTGTCCTCCAGCTCCTCCCCTTCTGGCACAGACAGATTCCGAGACCACTGCAAGGCATCCTTCTGAACGGGCAGAGAGAACTGGGATGGCTACAGCCCTCCCTCCCAGCCACTACGGCTTAAACCGACGGGAACAGAACGGCTGGTGGATATAGCTTTTAAGCTTAATTTCTTTCATCTTCCCTGTTTTAATCCTTGATGGAGAAAGACATTTTGAAGTGTATTTGGGCTCATAGTGAACAGAAGCCATCGAAAGTGCCAACACACTTCACAGACACCTCCTAGACAAGTTACTCAAATGTATTCAAAATACACGAGGTTAACAATGGGTCGCACTTTTCCACGAGCAAGCGGCTCCTACTGAAGAAAAGCGCCTCGTTCGTACCACAAAAGAACAGGTAGCAGCAGAGTAGGCGAACACTAAGACAGTAAGCTCAAGAGATGCATTTACTGCTTGTACCATCGAAGCCAAGTCAAATCCATCTATTTTCAGCAAAATACGGCAATCAAACAAAATTTTCTGACAGCAGAAAAAAAAAAAAAGATGCACGTGAAATAGCCGAGATACCTGTTGTCTCTCAGGCTAATATTTATCAGGGAATCCAACAGCACAAAACAGCGCAAAAGAAAACCCTGAGACCAGAAACATTTTCCACATTTAGGATTACTGGGACAATAAACTAAATACAAAACACTCCACAGAGACCTCAAGACCTGAGGAAAACGGTGACACCAAATGCACACCGAGTGCAGCAGAACACAAAACAAATCACCAGGAGGATGAACATACATTTTTCTACCCAGATTTTACTTGTGGCTACAAGCTCTTGGCCCTGTTTGATGCACTGGTTGGCCGAGTTCCCTTGTGGCTGGCAGAAAAGGAGCGCACGGGGCTGCTCAGATACGCGGCCACCCGAGTCGGACACAGAGTACAGGAATGAGAGGATTGATCTTGCTTGCACGACTCCAGAAATAACAGGGTTTTTCTAAAAGGAGTTTTTCCCATAGGGCTGAATATAGCCGACAGGTAGGAGCTCTAAGGAAATAACGAAGCCCAGCCACCTTCCCGCGACGCTCTCACAGGCAGCAGCCCCAGCTGGGGCGAAGCCCAGCGACAGCTCAAGGCTCAGCTCTGCAGAACTCACACCTCGGCGCTCGGCCGAGGGCAGGAGCGCGGCGCTTACCTTCAGCGTGAAGAGGCTGATGCGTCCGGGCAGTTTGTAGAAGAGCCCGTCGCCTCCCCGCGAGTTGGAGTGGAGCATGGCGTTGAGGCAGGCCAGGGGGGAAGTGCCGCTGGAACGCAGAACGGAAACGGTGAGCTTTAAGAAACGGCCTTACCGAGAAAACAGCCGGGAGGACGTGTCTGGGCACCGCTTGGCTGACTGAGGGGAGCAGAGAGGACGCCCGTTACCCCCACGGCGCGGGCGCTTCACTCCAAGTGTCACCGTTTTCCTTTCTGAGCCGCACGTCAGCCTCAACCCATCACAGCGGAGCCACCGGCAGAAAACAGGAAACGTTATGCCCATTTTATAGTTACTCCCAGGCATCCTTAGACGTCTCTAACTTTTACTACCCGTTTCCTCCCTTTCTCTGCTTGAAGCTTTCAGAGTTGGAATGGTTTTACAAAAAACCCCCAGATTTATTAAGCAGGAGAAGGACCTAACAAAAGCAGCACAGACCGTACACACGCGCGTCTCTGGAACGGCTTCCCTGCCGTGCCACAGGCTCTGCACCAGCAGAGTCACACAGCAAAGCTCCGCTGCACTCATCTGTCGAGTCCCACGTAACTCCCTGCTTAAAGCCACCATCCTACGCTCGCGCCGATGGAACTTCTGCGCCACGTAATCTCGTGTTTTCCAAGAAGTCACCCACAGGCAGGCAGAAAGTTACCTGGAAGAGGCACTAGCGCAGCATCGACTTCATTGTTATTAAAAGTGAAACCGAAAACTGGATTGAGACAAAATATTTCAAAGAAAATCAGTCTCAAACTGAAAACTTTGAACAATTGCTGTTTCCACCCTGAAGGCGTTCGTCTTTTGGACATTTCTTCACAAGCCTTGGCAACAGACAAAACCACCCTGTATCGTTTTCAGATACTATGAATAAAAATTTCCAGCCTTCTGCCCAGTCCGACAGCGTTCCCCACACGCGCTGACCAGCCGCAGAGTGCGCTGTCTTAGAACGGCAAAATGAACCGTTTTCCCCAAAACAAGAAAACCCCCAACCAGTTAAAACTCTCCTGAGGGCTAGAGCCGAGCAGCGGTGCTGGGCCCCAGTGCCCTGGCTCCAGGACAGCCCCACAGGACCACTGGTGCCGCCCGTGAGGAACCAGTGCCCTCCCACCAGACCCGCGCGACCCCCGGCGCAGGAACGCTGCCCCAGGATCGGTCCGAAGGGAAAAACATCCCGAGCCACCGAGCTGTTTCCTTCAGGAAACGGAGTTTCAGGAAAAGCTTCTGCACAAGCACCGAAGTCCGCGGCGTGTCCAGCGAGGCAGAGGCGCTGCCTTGGTTCTGGGAACAATGAGGCTCCGGAGGAAACGGTCCTTTCCCAAAGCAGAGGATTAACAACGGGGAAGGAGAAGCAGCCACCTCGAGGGACGAACACCGCCCTTTAAGGGAACGATTCAGCCCTGCGGGATTTAACGTGACACATGCTCCAAAGTCTGGTCTTCAGTTACGTGCTGCGACAGGGCACTTGCCAAAACCGGGAGAGCACCAAGATAATTCCGGTGTGTGAAGAGAGACCGGCCACTGCCTTCGGCAGGACAGCCCGGGCACGCGGATCCCCAGCCACCTGCTCCAGCGAAAGGTCGGACGCGAGAGGTGCCGAGCGGGGGCTGAAGCAGCGCTGGGTGAAGGTCCCCTTCCACAGCCTGTCTGAATTCTGCTCAGAGCTGCGAGCCCACCCCCTGCTCCCGACCAGTAAAGATCTCCTCGGCCAGGACGGCCCGTGGCAGCGGGCGCGCC